AGATAATGTATCCGTATTATTCTTTTCTGCAAATTGTATGCCCATCATTCAGCCTATGTATATCGGAATAGTGTGCGAGCTGAAATGCAAATATTAAGTAGCATTTTTAAAATCCATGTTAAATTTCTTGAATAATGGCAAGACTAATCAAGAATTTAAAAAATATTTTAGCATAAAATCTGCTGTGTGGAGCATCGCAAAATCGTAGGAGGATGTTGAACTTTAAAAAATGCCTTGCATAATTTATAACTGGCTACCATATTTCCTTGTGAGGATATTGAAGATAATAGTCACATACTTGAAGTTTTTTGAATATCTCAAATCAAATATGAAATTTTCCGACTAATGGATTTTTATAAAGAAATGTGGAGAAGCATTAATAAATGAAAATCATATAACAAATATAATGTGTTTTCATTGTGATGACAGTGCCCCAATCATCAATCAATTAATGGACAGTGAAATCTTTAGTATGGTTCTTGATCCAGAAAATACCACTGCTGATAGTGAAGAAACTGTCACAGAGGTTATTGAAAACAAAAAAAATTTCGATTGACAATTTAGTTGGAATTCGCAACACAGCAGTTACAGGACTTGAACAGTGGAACTTTGTAACTGAACAAGAAATTATGTCTGTCTAGAGAATTAAAGAGAAAGTATTAGCACAAAAAAATGAAGAAACTTACATTGAAAAACATGTTTAATAAAGTAAACTAATAAATATTAACTTTTTTTTTTTTTTTTTTTAAATTTGTAAATTTTGATACCCTTTAGATCATAAATTAATTTTATAATTTCTACATGCCATCTTACTAGATTTAAACTAGTGATCTTATATCTGAAATTGCTGAAGTCCCAGCGAGTCCAGACTTGGACTTTGTGCTGTAATATGTTATTTCTTGGAATGTAACCAATATACTTTTCTCAGAACTGATAAAAACTAGCACCATATATGCAAGTATGCCTATTGCTAGCCTATAGCTGTAAAGTTTAGCTAATAACTTAATCTATGATTCTACTGTTTAGATTTGTTAGAAGTAGAAAAGTGGTTGATACAGAGGCAAATATATTGGATATTACTCATCAAAATGATAATAATAATTACATATTCATATAATGTCTTTGGCTATCTAGTTATAGCTTTTGACTGTGTAGCGTGAGTGTATATATATTAACCCTTTCTGGCACAGTGTGCCTATTCCGGGCACACCCAAAAATTTCCCTCTGTACACACAGAAAAATTTAATTGAAAAGGCTTTATAGGTTACTATGAGTTACTTTTAACCTTCTGTATTCGGCAGGACAACACAAACCAGGCAATGTGTTTTAGCCATATTTAGTTTTTTTAAACACCCTCATTTTTAAAAGAAATCTTCCTGATTTTTTTTTAATGATATAAAAGGAATTGTTTGAAAATAAATTTCTGTGTTGTTTTCTTGGCTGTAGGCTGATCTCTTTATTCTATATTAGTTTTAAATTTTTATGTTGAAATCTTACCTAAAATTGAATGATGAATATCTGGTGTGCTCAGAAGGGGATCACTGAAACAGCAGGACGAGACCAACAGTTTATCTTTGCTTCACTGCAGTATTTTCTTTGGTGAACTTATTCACAACAGAAAAGTGGATGCATATCTCTCTCTCTCTCTCACATTTTTTTTTTTTTTTTTTTTTTTTTTTTTTTTTAAAGGGGAGATTTTGGTCATCAACTGAGAAATTGTTGGGCTGGTTTTCTGAAGATCAGGGGTAATTTTATCAGTTAATTCTTTGATTGTTCATTAGAGCAGTTTTATCTGTTTCTTTCGCTTTCATTGAAAGAAGTTTTGTTAGCTCTGCATTTTTATAGTTTTGAGTTGTAGATGTTTATTTAATTTTATTTTGTAGTTTATGTTTTCTTAATTATGGATATAATATTAGTTTATTTTTTTCTGATTTTTAATTTTTTTGCAAATGTATCGGAGAGGGCTGACTATTTCTGAAGCTCTGAAAATGCTAAACAATAGTGAAATAGATAGTGAATCTAATACGGATCCTGGTACATGTGCAAAACATGCAATGTTGGGTTGTGCTTTTTCAAAGGTAGTGTCACTTGGTTTGAAAATACTACCATGGGGAGGGGGGAATAGATGAAAGTGTAAATTTGAAAAGTAAGTAATGTAAATATCCTATACCCAAGTTACATTGTTTTCATTTATATAATAATAACATATAACCAAGAACTTTTTTTTGGGGGGGGAGGGGAATGTAGAGTAGCATGCTTTGTAATGCTAATAAATCTACTATGGTAATCAGAAGCTAGTGTTTTTAATCAGGCAAAATTTTTTACTTTATTATGTGCTTCCCAGCAATGCTTGCATCAACATTTTTTCAAACTCTATTCATTCAGTGAGCCTGCTTTGGGTACTTCCACAGTATTAAAACAATAAGTGCTATCTTGACAAAATTTTACCTATGTGCTTCTCTAGGCCTGATTAGACTGCCTTCATTTTGTTTTGTTGAAATCCCAAATTTAAAAGGTAGTATGCCAGAAAGAGTTAATGAGATTTAAAATGTTAAATTTCCTAAATAATAATTATGAATTGATAAAACATTATTTGTTTAATTGCATTCTACAGTGTTGTAAGAAAGATATATCTTGTAGAAAAATATTAAAAGGAGCTGTACAAGTTTCATAGCTTTCTTGTCCTGATGTCAAGGAATATTATTGTGGGCTCTGCTCTGAAAAATGAATTTGGAGAAAATGTTACCACGCAGACCATTGTATTTAGCAGACATGGAATTTGAATTCAAGGATTTGTATGCTGTGGTAATTCTGAGAAAGCTTTATGATTACCGTCATATATTAGGACTTTATTGTCAACTTGAAGCTTACATGGTTGACTGACTGCAAAAAATGAAGGAAATTTCTAATAAGTACATTGAGTAGTTAAATTCCAAATAAATATATTTTGAAAGTGAGTTTGTTAAGTTCTTGTATCCTAAATTCCAAATAAATATATTTTGAAAGTGAGTTTGTAAAATTATTATATCCTAAATGTGTGTAAAGAATGCTTTTATACAGGCTATTTATAAATGAATAGTGTGGTTTTAAAAATTAATAATAAATACATGTATTACTTTATATGAGCAAACCTTGCAGTATAAGCAGCAGCAACTGTCCAATTTTTTTGATGCATTAATCACAATCCTTCAATATCTGTATGGTAATCAAATTCTTCCCATACTCGGTGCAGTATGCCTGCCATGACAGTCTGTAGTGCATCTTTATCTGACCACAAACTTCCTCAAGGGACGTAGGTATTGGCAATACATGAACTCTGTCTTTAACAAACCCCCAAAGAAAGAAATCTCTTGGTGTTAAAATATGGTGAACAGGTGTTCCAGGGAGAAGGTTCTTGTCTGCTGTTGCAGCAAGTCCAATCCAGCGTTGGTGAAAAACATGAAGAAGGTCTCTTACATTCTTGTGAAAACAGAACGGAGTGCTATCCACTTGCAAAATGTGATCATCATAATTGGTATTCATTAGGGTTATCAACCAGGTTGCAACATATCTAGAAATGAATCCCCAATCACAGTTTCATGTTCAAATTAAAATGGGTATGCGCTTTCTTGCAGAACACTGCACAGAAAATGTGCATGAAATGCTGCACCGAAACCCAGATCTGGATATCTCAAAACAAAGCACACGTGATGCCTTTTCCTGTTGCAGTGCAGGCCTACCAGTGGTTGAGCAGTGAAATCACTGAACACTGGTTATTCTGACCTGGGTTAAAATCTATTCAAATGGGCTGGCTGCATGGGCATTTTCGTAGTTTTCCCAGTGTGTAACATGTATACAAGCCAGTTTTCCTTAGAAAGTCCTCCACAAAAGGATCCCTCCCCTTAGGCAGATAGCCCTGGTGTGGTTTGCCATTCTAAACTAAACCCCAAAAAATACTGTTGTGGTGCCATCTTGGGAACTGATGTTGTGGTTGCTCTGTAAGCATGACAAGTAAACAGCAGGTAGCACATGAGGAACTTGGACAGTTGCCAATGATTATGGGGTAAGTTTTTTTAATTTACACGAGTAAAATAATACAGCAATTTATTATTATTTTTTAAAACCACACCATTTATTTATAGACTAATGCATTATAGAGATAGCCTTTATTATCTATGACTTAAATATGTATGTAATACTGACAGATATGCAACTTTGATCTGTAATTCTGCATATCCATTAAAAGCTAAAAATAGGAGAAGGAGGAATATTTTTTATTAAGAAATAAAAGTATAAACAAAAATAAAAAGCAGCAATAAAGATATTAAAATAAAAGGGATATCCATGTCAGCATAAATTAAGCCATTTGATTAGCATTATTGTCTAGAATGTGGAATTTACCGAGGTTTCTGAAATCAAGACAGAATAACTGCAGTATTTACAAAATTATACTATGTTAATTTAGGGGGCGGGAAGTATGTAGGCTTAATATTTCTTTGTACCACAAGCTCTATGAGTAGCAATAAAGGAAGGTCTGAATATTGCTGTGTATATTTATTTTGTATGTCTGTTTATATTTATTTTCATTTATGAAGTTAGATTATTTTTATCAACTAATAAAAACATGGGCATAGCAAAAGATGTGCGAGTTAAAATTTTTTATCTGTGTGTTTTATACTTTTTTACTGTTTTGATGATTAAAACGAATTGTTGTAATTTCCTTTAATATACATAATCTTTTAAATCATATTTGATGTGTTGAACTTTTAGAAAAAAGTGACTGCTCCTTTGAGTAGTGTGCCAAATTGAGGATTTAGTATTATTATTAATTCACTTGCCTAGTTTTTCCAGCCACATTTTCAGGTTGAAGTAAAGCTTTAAAAAAAGATGTCACTAATCTTGAAAGAAATTTTGCAAGGCTATTTTTAGTGCAAGTTTTTAGTGATAATTCCAAGTGTTTTATGATTTGCTGTTCAGATCTAATGTTTATTATTTTAACTTTGTGTAAATTTTTGTTTTAGGGACATGAGTGAAGCTGAATGTTCTAGACGATCATTATTATATATGGATGATGATGATGACGATGACGATGATGATGATGATTTTGATGAAATGGAAGCAAGTACTAGTTGTGCACCAAGGCAAAGTATGTATCTTGTTTTTCAGTCTTATATAACCACAGTTAACCATAATTTTAACGAATGAAGACTTACTGAATCAAAACTGCAATCTCGTAGGATTTGCCTGCCCGTTCTTTTTATACTATTCACATGTTCGTATTCATGTTGCATTTTAAGCATATTGTGGCTCTTTATTTAACTTTAAATGTCCATTTTATTCATTTATCATTGATAATAAAATTGCATGCAAATGGTGCAAAGTACTGTAATTTTTAATAATATATTATGGTGTGTATCTTCTTTGTAAAAGAATTTCATTATAAGGAGGCATTTCAAAGGTGTAAGTTTAACTGTCATTCCTTGTGTTTAGAGTTGCGGTCAGCAGTATGTTTCACCCTAACCTAATATTACTGCACTTAATTTAGCAGAAAGAACTGTATGTAAATAAATTACAGTTTTTTCTGACTCAGGTTTTAATTTATGAAGTTTAGTTATTTTTATCAACTAATATTAACATGGGCATAGTAGAATTTGTTTTATGTGTCAGTTAAATTTTTATTTTTTGTGTATATTTTGTGCTTTTTATTATTTTGATGATTAAAATGAATCATTGTGTGTAATTTCCTTTAAAATATATAACCTTTTAACTCACATTGGATGTGTTGAACTTTTAGAAAAAATGAAGTCTCTTTCTCTTTAAGTAGTGTGCCAAATTGAGCATTTATTATTATTTTCATTTTAATATAAAGTAATGAATCGCATAATGAATGTCTTGTGTAATGAAGCTGACTCCACATTATGAGCTGCATACATATTTCGTCACATTAGGTGCAGCATTATTTTTTATTTTAATTGTATGTATAAACAAAAAAAAAAAAAAAAAAAGGTCTCTGCATGAACAAAACTAATGAGTGCAGAAGGTTATAAACAAACACATTTTTTAATATCATATTACCACTGAAGAATTTCAAGTCCTTCTGGACCAGGAATGTTAGGAAGACTAGAGGAAAGTTTTTTTTGGTGAAGAGGAGGAAAACATCAAGGTCCTGTGACAGCTGTAACTGTCAAAAATGGACAATACCAGCAGGGAGGGTTGACTTTACCCTTTATTCTCTTTATTCACAAGGTGCTCCCACACATCGTCATACAGAGACCAACCATTTGTGGTCTGAACGTAAAAATATAAAACTATTAACTAAAATTTTAAATAAAAGCTAATTTTGAATTAGTTTAGAAATCCCTAACACTAAGACTGACATTTTAAATTATTACGGATGCAGTACACAAACTGCCGAAACTACAACACGTTTTAAATTATCAAGAGGACTAAACCTCTGGCCTTAAAGGTGGACAGTGACTGATTGAAAATTCGTGCAGAATACAGTGGCAAAGCATCTCACTTTCCCTCTCTCTCTCTCTAACTCTTGGCAAAAAGCTACAACTTAAATACTTTGGTGTTAGCAAGTGCAGTTTGCATGAACAAGTTAACACATTTAATTCTGGGCGGAAGTGGAAAATAAGAAGTGATAGTAAAGTTTTAAAATAATAATAATAATAAAAAAATGTTAGTAAAACTTAAGATCTTTACAATGTCATAAATAAGAATGTTACATACTGCTTCAGGAGGATCCTTTTTGATACTTAATTATAATTTAATGCTTAAACCTTTTCTTGCATAACTTTAAATGTATTTAAATTCTAAGAGTAGAAATTTTACTGTGAATTGTAAAATTATTTGGTTTCTGTTACATCTCGATACTTAAAAAACTTTTCTTTAAATTCGAAGAGTTGAAATTTTACTGTGAATTATAAAATTATTTGAATTTTGTTTCTCTTACTTTTCATTTTAGAAAAATGTTTTTGAGAATGGGAGAGAGATTGCAATCTATAATTTAAAAAAACTTTGATATTTTATAATATAGATATTTTGTAGGCCATTTTATTTATTTTTGCTTATTTATAGACCTATAGTACTATGAATACAGTATAGTTAATAAAATTTACTACATAATTAAATTACATAACAGTTATATAAATGTTATCTATGTTATATAAAATTGTCTATGAAGATCGTTCATTAAGTTTGAGTCTAAGATTGTGCAATACATGTGGAGTGATGAAATGGTTATATTATCCTTTGGAACTATTAAACTGAAAAACGTGTACATAACACATACTATTTGATTTTTGAGAAGCTATTAAATGTTGTAAGTCATGTTTATTAATATTGAAAATATCAAACATAATCAGTAATTGTGTCCCAAACAAAGGAAGGTGTAATACTGTCAATTATTCAGTTTCACATGATTTTAGTGTACAATGGTCAGCACCTAACTATACCATTGTGAAATGTTGATTTGTCAGGTTTAGTCAGGGAAATGTCATTTGAAGATGATGTTGGACTAGATTCAGTATGGAGGTGACTGCTGAAGATGTGCTTGTGTCATGGAATAGAATGGAAAATAGACAAGGGGCAATTTTTTTCTGGTTATTAAAGAAATGAGATGATAGTGGAAAATCCTGCATTAAAATCTGAAAATTTTAAAATTTTGCATCAGATGGCAACCTAGATTTTTCAGGCTATAACTCAAGCCTTTTTCAGCCTTTTTGTGTCACCTTCATCAGTTCTGACTCCTGAATGGTTTCATGTTTAGCTCTATTATAACCTTACAAAGATCCCAAATCATGGCCAAAAATTTTAAGTTATCTTCATTAATGTTTGATCTCATCCATAAGGCATTTGATTAATGTGAACTGGATTTAAATTTTCTCAAATTCATGCCCGCAACCTGGAAAATATTTACAGCATCTACAGGCAATCAGTATGCATCTTGCACAGTTTTACTTCCATAAAATAAGTCATCATTGTAAATAGAAGAATTAAGCATTTTAAAACTCTTGGGATAGTCCCCTATATGCTCTTTAATGTGATATTTTATTGTAGCAGCTAACAGAAAAAGATTAATCGGTACCCCGAACAGGATTCAACACGTGTAGAATATTATATGAAGGAATCGTAAGTAATCCTTGTCTTCTTCTGCAGTGCCAATCATTAAAAATGCGTTTTCTGTGTCCCCACAAAATGCTATTTCAGGTTTACGAAAGCTCAGGATTATGTCAAGAACTTTTGGATTCAGATATGGGCCGGTTTCTATTCATTCATTTAAAGATTTGAATTTTCCTGTCTGAAAAAGCATCGAAAACTACACAGACACTAGTAGTCTTAGAATCACGAATTAAGCACGTTGCGTATATAATTACTGTGAAGTTTAATTTCATTAGGGCATTCTTCAACTATTTTTTTTCTTAATTGCTCTTCACTAATTTCCTTTGCATTTGTAATTTCACTTTGGCAGTTTAACTTGCAATATTTCTGGAGTTTTCTGTAATTTTTGTTTTAAAAATTGAAACTATCTTTTTGCAATTTCAAAATTATTTCCTAGTTCTTCTGTAGTAGATTTCCACAATAGTTAACATTCGTATTGTCAATTTTTAAATTGTATATCTCTTTCAGAATGGCTAATTAGGTCATTATCAGTTTTATTAAATTCATTTTGGCCCATTGAATGGCGTTGGCATGCAAAGAAGGCGGGAGAAATACCTTACAGCTGCATTTAAAAGCATTGTGGTGTTTTTCACAGAAGATACATACTCGCTGTACTGTAGTGTTAAATGCACTAGCCATGGGTGTATTTCTGTTGTCTTTTATTTACAGTTTTCTTATTATAATAATTAGTAAATATTTTATTTTCACTGAAAGCCAATAAAGTACTTTTGCGACATTCAACCTCCTTCTTTAGGAATAGAATGAATTTGAAAATGTCAGTGTCGGCTTCATCGCTTTGCCTGCTAAATTCTAAAATTAGATCATGGGGCAAGATTTTTTGTAACATACCGTATTTGACGGCATATAAGACACACCCTTATTTAGAAGGCCGCACACAAGGAAAAAAAAGATGCGGTACCACAATAACTTAAAATGTGGTTTCTTTTAATTCTCCCGTTTTGTAAAAGCCAAATAAACAATCATTGAATGCAATTACCAAACATATTTTTATCAGGGAAAATGAACAAATGGCAAGCAATTTTGAACATATGTAAATTTTAATAATGAATAAATGGCAAGCAATCAAACATAATACAAAATAAAGCAGAGATAACAAAAAACACAGATTCAAGGAAAATGTTGCCTATCATGAAATTAGACTTTAATCTCTTTCAAAACCATAAAAATCCTTTTCACTATCATCATCATCGAAAACGAGAATATCGTCATCACTACAGTTCCCGTCATCACTAGTATCACCTTCTTCGAATAATGCGTCGTCTTCTGTTCCGTCAGGAGTATTACTGATTCCGCATTTCTTAACACTTTGCGGGCCGCTGTCACGCTGCCGTGACTTTTGCTCGGCAACAGATATCGGCTGCTGTCACATACACGTGACTTATTTTCGCCAACGAAGATGCTTCACATCGATGTTTGTATAGATAGGCATACTATAGCAAAACATTTGACGATCAGTAAACATTGGTTTCAACTGTTTTCCTCTCCCAATTCACCAGACTGTCTATTATTGAAATCTTTTTTCGTGGATGCTTGTTTTTTTAGTTTGAGACTGTCTTTCGCTGCCTTCAAATATTGGAAACTTACGTTAGATTTAAAGATATTCTTCAAAATGTTCTTCGATGAGGAAATATATGCTGATCTGTTATCAGAAGAGGATAATTGCTCTGCTAGTGAAAGTGATTCGGACAGTGGGAGCGATAAATTGTGAGACGATTCAAAAATAAGGGAAGACCAATAATTAGTGAATCTGAAAGTGATGAAGAGAATTCTGTGGCAAATGATTGGTCAGAAGTTGATTTTAAACCTAACTTTCACGCTTGCCTGGAACGGTTTGGGTTACAGGTACCTTATACACCAGATATATTATCAACTGTGGAATTTTTCATTGGGGACGATTTATTTAATTTGTTTGCCACACAAATTTATATCATAATCAGCAGAATAATGATAACAACAATG